AGGTAACGGTTGTCCTAAAGGTGCTTTTTCGAGGGGCAACTGGAATTTCTCGTTTTCCTTTGAAGACACTTCTCATCCAAGAAGCTTCTTCAACTCCGCTTGGATGGTGAGGAATGGAAAAAATTATACTCCTTGCTGACAACTGGTCATTTGCATTCTTATAACGATTTTAAAAACTTAATGCTTATTGCTTAACGACTCGCTAAAAGAATGCAAATGACCAGCTGTCTGCAAGGAGTTCCATAAATCCCTCCATTCCTCATTATCCAGGCAGAGCTGAAGTCGTTTCTTGAAGTCTTTGAAACATTTTCAAAGGAAAAAACAGAAGGTCCAGTTGCCTCTTTAAAAATAGCATCTTTGAGACGATCTGCCAGAAAACAACCAAGCTCAGAGAGCACCACAGACCCCTCATTTCAACCCTGAGCTACAAATATTCTATTACATTGGTATAATATTAATGCTGTGATCAAGAATATTCTGTGATTGCTGGAAGGGTGTCGAGTTTGTAACAAACCTCATATCAGATCCTGGACTTAATATAGGTCAGTCTCATTGATGCGAGGTAAATCCTACAAACCAGAATGAGTCTTAAAGAATTCAACAAGGGTGCCAGTTTAGAGCACCATCCTGTTTCACCTGAGTGGAACAGCCTTCTGCTGGCTGTATCACACATCAGCCCAAGTCACTTTTTACTGAATGAAGTACCATCATTAAAACTAGAGAATAATAAACCACTTTTTTATATAGTGTGATGACTGGTTTCACAAAATATTTGATCACAAATGAGCAAATACTTTGGGTTAGCTCAATTTATGAATCTGAACACTAGATATCAATCATGGCTTATTGCTTAATACTGTAAGGCCTACTGTCTATAAATCTAGACAGACTTATTTTCTGTTTAGTTTTGGTGTTCTGGATAAGATTCTTGTAATCCCCTTTGTTCTCTTGTATTTAATAGATATTAGGCTCCCTTTTAATGACGTGTTTTTGTTTTTCATTTTAGCCATCCATTACTTTTAAGATTCAAATTTTAAGCCAACTTATTTACAACTTACTTAAGAGAATGATGCAAGAAGATGCAAGAAGTATTGCTAAAATGGAGCAGAACCAAGCCACATAACTCTTCAAATGCCTATGTCAACTATTCCTTATTTACCGTTATTCAAATGTCACAGTAGTAGTTTGTATTATTGTGTTATTCTGGTCCTGCCTTAGGCATAAAAGACTTTGAATCAGTTACTCCCTTTCAGCCCAACTCATTGTGTTTATGGGGAAATTAGAATGTTTGGTATGTTTGCTGCCTTGAGTTGTTTATAAAAACAATCCTACAAAGATAGAATTTAAGAAATCTAAAAAAATGCTGTGGGAGAAAAACAATCTTTTTAACATTCTAATTCAAAACATTCATTTTTTGTTTTATTACATATTACATAGACAAATTAATAAATGTTTATACATTTTTCCAGGATAATTTTACAATTCAACTCCTGAAATAGCATTCTGATTTCTGATTTAAAATATAGCATTATAATAACATTTAAACAAAACTAGGTGCATTTTGTAAGATTATTCATTTTATTATGTGTTTCAGAGGCTCTTTATTTCATTTTTAATATGTATTGAAACCCACTGAGATACTCACTTTTTCAAAGTAGGGAAAACACTTTGCAAAAAAATTGCAAGAAATAAATATTTTTGATAATTTATAATTTTGGGATTTCTCCACTGTGTGGCGCCAAAGTACTATATTAAGCAATTAAGCTGCCAAATTGATAGTTCCTTTTGAGTTTTTATGTAGGTGTCATTTATTTACTTGTCTTTTTGTCAAATATCCAAAATACATTATGAGAGGACAAGTTGAGAACAATTGTTCCACACTCTTCTATTAATTCGTGTAATAAATTTCAATATGTCATTATACCTAACAAGCATTCTATCAATACATTCTTAGTATAAATAAGTGGCAGATATGGGGCAATAGATTTCTATGGCACTTCAAATGTTCAGGAAGCAACTGAATACATTTTTTGAGAAAAAATCCTTTTGATATCCAGTTGCAATTCTTGGATGATCATTTTTCATCTGTGTGTTTCCATTAATGTTTTAATTATGAGATATTATAATTGTACTTTTATACTCATGTTTTATTGTGCACCACTCAAAATCTTTGGATAGGGTGATACAAAAATCATTCTAAACAATTAAATGACACAATAAAAATGTCATCCTTTGTGATTCTGTAGAATTTTAATTTTTAACTTTCTATAGCTTTTTTAAATAAAGAAAAATAAACAGCAATTGTACTGCGGAAATATCTCTACCCCCATTATGTTCAGATAATATATCAATGTTACTTTACTGCATGATAAATAAATGTACATGATAATCAGCTTTGATCTCATGAGTGGCTGCCATCTTGACTTTTTCATTGCTTTCCCTGGACATCTACTGAAAAACAAGATAAATATTTTAAATATTTAATTATTTGCTTAAATTGATTTTGCCCAGCAGTTTAAAGGCATAATTGGGAATCATGTATTCAGGTTTTTCTTCTGCATTCTGTCCTTCATGAACAATTATCCAATGTGACATAAATATGAAAAGATACAATAAAATGTTATTTGTGGAAAAAATGCCCTAAAAGCTCTTTTGAATTCCCCAAGCCTATGGTATTTATTTAATCACAATAGCAACAAATGTATATTCAATTTTAAAACTTATCTTCAGACATCCGCACAATCCATTTGAGCCTTTCACACTATTTATTGCATAGATAAATGCTTGCAACGTGGAAGTTAAAGTGGAAGATAATTTGTTCATTGTATATACATTTTACAATTGGATTACAGAAGGTGGCAGTACAAAACATAATTTAGTCTGTTATGTATAAATACTGCTTTCTGTCTCATAACAACATTCACAAGGGACTTACTTACAGAATTGTCTATTATCAATTATATTCATAGAACATGCTAACTTTGGTTAATGGAACAAGCAGGGTAACTTTCTCACAAGTTAAAATGAGAAAAATAAGAATAAATGAAATGAATGCTGTAGTGTCACATCATAGCCTTATAAGCTCAAGATATATAGCTAGCAGAATCAGCCCATCCCCCCCTTCCTATGTGGAGAATCAGACTAGTCTTCCAAGAGATAAAATAACACTTTAAAAAAGAGAGATTGTAAAAGGCTTTTGCTACATACTAAGTAAACAATTCTCACAAAGATTTGAGGAAGTCTGCCTGAGAAGATGTATAACAGAATATCTTGAATCCTGCCAGCTGGCAGGGGAAATCTATTCTGAACACTGATTCATGGTTTAGTACAATATGTAAATCTAACTACTGTTGTCTTATTCAGCAAGCCATGATTAAATTAGACAATGTAATCACAGCCAGTATTGGAACAGGTACAAATATGCAAGATTTTAAAACAGGGCAAGTATGCAAAGGAATTATCAGGGTTTGGCAAGGGAGTGTTGTATCCTAGTGGGTGGTGGGGACAATTCATGATATCTTACCAAAATAGTTCTTCCTCAGTGGGTTGTGTCTCAAGATCAAAGGAAAAAGATGCAATTGTGTATGAGCAGAATAATGCATATATTTTGCCAAAAAGCTCAGCTTTTTACAGATATCCCTGCTTAGGACTTCTCAGAGTAAACACTTCCACATAAATATCACACTCCGCTCTAAAATCTTTGGCACATAATTTATACTACCAAGTTAGTGCCCCCAGTAAGGTACTTCATTGCTTCATTGAATTAGGTAGTACTGTCTCTCCTGAGAAAACCAATTAAAGTGTGCAAAAGAAGAGAGGGGTTTTTTTTGGGGGGGGGGGGAATTGGCCACTTGGCTGCTCCTGAGAAAAACTGGGAAGGAGTGGCCTGGTAGTGTCCCAAGAGGCAAGATGACAGGAGGGGAGTCTCTGTAGCCCCATCTCTTTTGTGCAGAAGGGGCCTTACCTGAGCAGTAACATTTTGACGAAGACCAGCCTCTGTATCTAGATAGTTTCCTTTCTCACGTTCCCAATCTGCCCAACCATGCCACCTTTGTTAAGCAAGTGTTTTATTGTGGAGTCCTTGGTGTTCTAGGAGTTTCGGGGGGGGGGGGGGGTATTGTGCTGTTGTGGTTGTTTTGCAGACATTTCATTACCTATCAAATGAATATAGGTTTGTTCCCTGTGTATTACACTGTAAGTTGCACTGATGATGTTATCTAGTTGGGTAATGAAATGTCTGCAAACAACCAAACTCAGGGAGCATCAAGGACTCCACCACTCAATCCTGCGCTACAAATACTCTGTTCTATTGGAGGTGTTTTACTGACAGCACAGTCTCCAATTTAACATGTTGGTATGTTTCTAGCAAATGAGACTTTTCAGTTTTTCAGGTATTCTATCAGTTGTTAATAACTGGTTTTGATGGTTATAATTAATTGTTTTACATTTGTTTGGAGTGTCTGTATTGAGTGATGTTATTTGTTCTTTATTCTATGTGCATCCTATATAGTTTAATTGTATACCGCCCCGGCAGCTTGCTAAACAATCTATGATTGGCACTCTTCTAGTTTCCATGCATGAGCTGAGATTTCTGAAAACTTGAAAGCTTTTGCTCTTTCAGAAATGAAGACCAAGGACGGACCTTAGGTTTAATTTGACACCTCCTGCAATGGGCTTTTTAAGCTGGCTGAATTTGCAGAACACAGTGCTTTTCAGCCAGGGGCATCCAATTCTGCCTCTACGATTTCAACATACAGGGAGGCCTGATGATATTCTTGCCCCATAACTTGATTTCACTCGCTTCTCTGGGCGATGAATGCAACCCCCCCCCCCCAACACACACACACCCCTCCCCACATATAACATACACACTGAGCCTGCAAGCCTAAACGCCACCCCCACTGCGGAGAGGCCGGAGTGGACCGCAAGTCCCGCCTAAGCGGTTGTTTGAATGGCCAAGGGAACTGTCGCTCAGCCCGGGCCCCTCGCCGCCTGTCCTGCCGAGCGAGGAGATGGTGCCGCCGAAGCCTTTAGCGCAGAGCGGGCTGCCCGGGAGAGGCGCTGAGATCTTGGGGAGAGGGGCGCGGGCCTGTCAGTGGAGTCATTGAAGAGCCGGAAACTTTATGACGACGTCCGCAGGTGTGCCTTAAGTTTGGGGTGGGGTGGGGGAGTGTGCGGGACGGATAATGGCCCCCTTTTTTTCTCTTCGGGGAGAGACACTGAACGAGCTGAGACGAGCCATAAGAGCAGGGAAAGCAGGAGCCGTCTTTCCCCCAGTCCCCCAGCCTCTTCTTTTCCCTTTTCCTTCTTTGGCTCAGCAAAAAAATAATAATAATGGGGGGGGGGGGGATTAGTTGAGGAAGGATGGGAAGCAATTGTAATCCCAGAGATGTCCAAATTTGTTAATACTGTTAGTCACACCGTGTTTTTGAGTCACTCACAAATTGACTTCTACCCCAGGGCTTCCACTAAGTAGAATACTGTATCTGAAGGGATGAGAAATCATCAGATATATGAGTGTTTTTCTCCCTACATTTCTTTTTGATCAAAACTTGTTAATAGACGTCTAAGAAGAAAAAAGACATTTAAAAAAAAACACACATTATGGGTAGGGTTTACTTATGTGTCAAGTTACACATATTTGGTATGATTATAAATTCTGCAAGGTGCCTGTAACTGAATGAAAGGGAAATCAGCATCTTAAATTTGATGCCATGAGGTGTTGGGTTCAGATCTAAGTTCCACGAAATGATGTTTTTACATTACAGGAACCAAACACATGAGGACTAGCTGTCCTGAGGAAAAGGCACTCTCTGTATGTTCAGTTATCATTCCTCACCACCGTGGGAGCACTAAACTCTTCTGAGGCCGAGTTTGGGTTTAGACCCAGTGTTAGAAAAAGTGCTATTCTGGAGTTTTATACTTTTTGAATTGCAAGTGGGTTTCTTTTCTCTGTCACTATCCTACAAATAGAAGAGTCAAGGGAAATGTAGCATATATGGGAATATCTACTTAACAGGAATGGACAGAAGCTAAATAATAATAGCAACAATAGCAACAACTGAATTGCATGAATTGAATTGAACTGGATTGAATGGTAATGCTAAATCAGGAAAGTTTTCTGACATCAGACTTTTAACAATAGTATCAACAATATTACATTCTTCCTCCTTGCCCTACATTGTCTTACAGAAATATAACAAGAATAGCCAGGAGTGGAATTTACTAAGAAACTATGAGCTCCATTCAGAACTGGTACACAAAATAAACCCCTGGGCTAAGAATCCATAGTTCTCAATATACCTGACTGTGAATAACTGGGGGTAATTTTTCTTTTTTCTCTTTTTTAAAAAAAGCCTCTTGCCCTTGAGGCCTATCCACTCTTGCTCCATATCCTGAAAACCACTTTGAAATTCTTTTGCTCTTCATTCTGGCCAGGCTCCCAGAATGCTAAATTGTTTTTGAGCTGGAAATATGGTCAGTAATCTTTTCCCTTGTGATAAGTAGAAAAGCCTTGAACTGCAAAATGTTTTAAAGAAGCTCACTATAGAAAATGAACAGCATGTTCCAGAACAATCATTCTCTGAAATAGGCCTTTGTAATGAGTGTACAGTAGTAGAATGAGAAGGTTTCAATATAAATTTATAAACTAACATATCTTGCCAGCATCTTGATGGATAAAAGTATTGAAATAAAAATAGTAATGCATTACAGTATATATTTTGATGATGGAGGAACCATGACAATCCTAATACCATAAGCCTAATGTCTCTAAAAGTGTCTGCAGTGTTGTTTAAATGTGTCCAAATAAATAATACATAATTACACAAATAATGGAACTAGATAATAGCCACCAATCAGTAATTATATTGCAGCTTAATTGCCAGCCTTCCCATGAGACAATGGTTGGGTTTATGTTCGGTAGTGCTAAACAATTATATCATTTGTTTGGTATTGGCTTTGTATGATATATGAAACTATCTATTCTGGATAAAAAGGAATGGTTTACATTTACAACATTCATTAATATAATGTATGAACCCAGGTAATTTTATTTATTTATCAAATTTTAGAAACTACCAATTTCACAGAACAACTGTAAGCAAACTAACGTTATTCAATACATTACAACATAGTATGATACATAAACCTTATTTGCTGTAAAGGAAATACAATAACCAATATTTTTTATACCAGAAATGTTTCTATGGATATATTTTCTTTACTGATTTATTACAAGTATATTTTGTGCTTCATCCAACAATTAAAATTAACTTAAATCATTCTTTCCTTTACCTCTATAATATCCAGATATTAAACCTATAAACCAAATTAATGTGGGAGGTAATGGCTGGGTTTATAGGGTGTTAAGCCATAATGTGTAGGACATTTTGATTTGTTTGTTTTGTATGGCTTTGTCTTACCATATAATGTAAACCTTGCTTTAGATCTGAATTTTCCAAGTTCAAGTAAATTATTCAGACCTGCAGATGCTCTATTATGATGGCTGTAGTGCACCTTTCAACATTTCCCTCTGTTGGTAACTTCGCCTTACCTTGTAGTACTGGTTGAAAATTAAAATCTTTCCAGTTTTTAAAAGTAACAACTAAATCTGCAGCTAACACATCATTTTAAAGAAGCAATTTCTTTTTGTATCAAATACTGTAAAAGAGGGGAATAATTGGCTATAGAGAAAAGAAACAAAGTCCTTCTTTTATATGATTGTTTACTTTATGTGTTGGGAAAGTATTTTGGGCAAAACCTAACCTCCCTGAACTTTGTGGGTGTTTCTTGCAATTTAAAAAGAATAAGTTTTTATTCACTTCAGTGTACAGTGTAAACTTTATCTGAAAAGACACTGTTAATTTCACTGATATTTTGAATTGATTATTTCATAAGTTCATAAGTGTTAATATATTCAACAGTGAAACATTAAACATTAAATCCTGTATCATGATGTTAAAAGTATGTTAAAAGTATGGGAATTAATCTCTTTAAATGAAAACAGTTAAACTCCTATCTATCAAATGGAAAGAAACTTTATTTACATGTAAAAACAACGGATTTTATCAAACTTCTGAAATTTAATACCCTGTGGGGTATTAATAAATTTAAGCATACAATTGTGCATTCTAAGCAAAGATACAAGTTTAATTCGAGATAAATTCAATAATCCTCAATGGGATTGTACTGTTACGTTATATTTTAAAATGAAAGAAACAAAAAAGGCACAGGAGGGAAAATGTGTGTAGATTCATAATGCTGAATCAGAACACAAGCAAGCCAAAGTGATGAACTCATTTATTTTTCCCTTGAGGAATCAAATAAGAGACGGGAAGTCATTGACTCATAAATAAGATCATTCATTCCACAAATGTAAACAGCATGTATTGTGCCAGCAAATATTTCCGTAGCCCTTTGCTTTCTGAAAAAATGTAAAGCAAATAATTTTGGGGAATTATAACTAAAAAAAAACCTTTACAATAGTGGAAATCAGAATGTTATATGACCAATACAATAGCTGTGATCTACACAGAAACCAAAAGTCACTGGTAATTTTGTTATTGAAACAATTGACATTTTTACATTTATATTACATTCTAAAAATAATAAAAACAAGTAATTATTTAAAAGAAAAACAACAAAAATTGAGAGGAGAGAATTGATCATCTTTAAGTTGTATCAACAAAATAAGTTTTGATTTTATTTTTAATCATCATGGACTATAACATTTCAGAAAGATTTTGCTATATTATTTGTGGTCAATTATTTGATTTAATATACAATTGTAATATCTTTACATATTAAAATGTATTAACATTAATTATAAAATATAAATATATAAAATTATATAAAATATTAAAAGTTAGCATAGAAGCTAAAAATCTATAAGCTATTTTAATATATGATAAAATTATATTTCATACATTAAAATAGCTTATAGATTTTAGCTTCTATGCCTTGTTTTAAATTATATAAAATGTGTTTTAATATTTATTTATTTAATTGATTTAATTTATATTGCTGCCTATTCGCCCATAGCAACTCAAGGCGGTGTACACAATGTAAAACCAGATTTAAAACAAAAAAATAGAAACAATTAAAAACTAACAAAAAGATTCAAATAAATTAGTAAAGTACAGTAGAACAAAATTTGGGAAAACAAAAATCAAAAAGCAACTCCCACCCGCCTCCCCAACAACAGCAGATCACACTAGCCACCTGATGGGCTACATCCCTCTCTAGGTTCCCCAGGCCCGCTGGCAAAACCAGGGCTTCAGGGCCTTTCGGAAGAGTATTAGTGAGGGGGCCATTCTAATATCTGGGGGAATGATGTTCCAGAGAGACAGAGCCACCATGGAGAAGGCCCTTCTTCTGGGTCCCACCAGGCATATCTCCCTCAGGGGTGGGAACCACAACATTCCCTGACTCCTCGCTCTAATGGGTCGGGTGGATGTGACTGGCAAGAGATGTTTCCTTAGATAACCCGGACCCAAGCCATCAAGGACTTTAAAGGAGATAACTAGCACCTTGAATTGTACTCAGAAGCAAATCAGAAGCAAACCAATGCAGCTCCTGCAGGAGAGGTGACACATGTGCACCGGGGTCTGCATAAAACCATGTGGACTGCTGCATTTTGCACCAACTGGAACTTCCGGATGCTCTTCAAGGGCAGTCCCATGTAGAGCGCGTTGCAGAGGTAGTATTCAGCAGGTTCTGGCCAGTTCTGGAGAACTGGTAGCGGAAATTTTGAGTAGTTTGGAGAACCGGCAAGTACCACCTCTGACTGGAGATTTTACAGTATACTTCCCCTGCCATGCCCACCAAGCCATGCCCACAGAACTGATAGTAACAACATTTGAATCCCACCACTGGCGCGTTGCAATAATCAAGATGGGAAGTGACCAAGGCATGAGTGACTGTGAGTAGGAACCGCTGATCCAGGAAAGGGCGTAATTGGTGCACAACCTGCAGTTACGCAAAGGCCCGCCTGGCCACGACTGCTACTTGCTGTTTGAACAGGAGTCGTGAGTCCAGGAAAACCCCTAGGTTATGCACAGAGTCTGTTTGTGGTAGTGCCACCCCATCCAAGACTAAAGGTGGTAATTCTCTCTGAACCAACCCAAACCCAAACACATTCAGTCTTGCAAGGGTTTAGTTTCAACCCGTTGCTCCCCATCCAGCCCCTAACAGGGAGGATACAGCATCACTTAACTCACCACTGGCCGAGACATACAGCTGAGTATCATCAGCATATTGGTGATACCTCAGTCCATGGTGATGGATGATCTCACCCAGCGGCTTCATATAAATGTTGAACAGGAGCACAGAGAGTACAGAGCCCTGCGGAACCCTGTAAAGCAGTGGGCGAGGGTTGGATCTCTCCCCTCCTATCAACACTGACTGAGAGCAGCCGCGGAGGAAGGAAGTGAACCAAGACAGCACAAGGCCTCCCACTCCCATTCCCCAAAGCAGCCCCAGGAGAATCCCATATATTGTGTGAATAAAATAGAAATGCGTTTTGAAAAAAATTATTAGTTGAACCAGAAGCATAATGCTATCGCATAATTTTATACATTTCTAGTTTTAAAAGCCCATTTATCTTGAACCCATTAAGTGCATATGATTGCTACGTCGTATCTTTTAACTTATTTCTTAACTTCTTATGAGTCACTGATATGTTCTATGAGTTGCTCCTATAACAGATTTCTTAATTCAAAAAAGGGAAAGATGATTTGCATTTAAACAGTATGGTGTATAATTAATCTTCATCCATGAATTGCTATATTATTGCAATATAAATGAGTTCATGTAAACTTGACATTTTACAATCAGAATTGGGATTAATTTTTTATTGATATCATGAATGTACAATTTTGCAAATATTGCACTCATCCTTTGTAGTATGCATAAAGACATAATCTTATGCTAAATATTGAAGTAGTCAAAAGATACTTATTTGACAATTAAAATACTTTTAATTTGTACAATACATGTAAATGTTTGTATATTAACAGTTAAAATCTTATTGAATATTTCCTTTTTTTTTCAAAGCCTAAATATGGCAGACTTCCTGGAGCCAGAAAGGATAATAAACTGGAAGGAAAGATGCATGGTTATGGAATCTCAACTAATGAAGTTTCGCCTTCAAGCCAGCAAAATTAGAGAACTGCTTGCAGAGAAGGTAAGTCTTAGAAAGTCCAATATGATGTATTGTATAGTTCAGCAACATGGATTGCTTAATAGATACCTATTGACTAATTACATTTGCTTAAATAGATATGTTTTGATTAATTAGCTTAATCTGGCAATAGTGATCACTAGACATGTATGTATGCTTTTAACCATTATAGGAAAATATACATGTGTCTAAAAATACTTTTCTAGATCTATTCTTCAGAATTATGAGCTGCCACAACCACTCAGAAGGTACTCAACCAACATTTTTTTCAAAATACCCATTCATGCCCAGAAAACTTATGTGATAATTCAGGGATAGGGAAACATATGTCCTACATTTGTATATTAAACAGTCCCATTCAAGTCAAAAATTGATTTCCCCCACAACTGAAAAACCAGTAGGTCAGGGATGGGGAACCTTTTATGGCTCACTCAGGAATTCTGGGAGTTGAAGTCCATAAGTGATAAAAAAGCCAAGTTTCCCTACCCCTGTGATAGTTCATCCCTGCTTAGTTACGTTTTGCCCAGCCAACCCCAGATAAATATTGTTTAGTCTCAAGATGAAAGTCAGCAACCATGCAACACTTAAAATCTGGGGGGAAATAACATTCCCCAGCAATATTTATATGTCCCCATACATTTATACATAAAGTACATGTAAAGGTAGATAAAAGAATCCAAGGTAATTCTCAATATAAAAATATATCCTTTCCTTATTTCAAAATAATCATTATTGGAAGCAAATAGATTGCCTTCTTCACTAAAAAATAATGTTTGAACATGCTCCCCCTGTGCCCTTTAGAATAACCAAATATTAATTGGAATACATGTTTTATAGAAGTTACATACATTGTTTATTAAATCAAGGAGTCTGGACATATGGGTAGTGAGTCAGTAATCTTGAAAGCAAAGAGATTGATGATTCATTGCCCTTTTGTAGTACCTGCACTATTTTTCCTTTCTTGGAATCTGGATATTATGGAGATGGAGCATATGCAAATGATAAATCTGACTCCAGTTGCATATATAGCAAGAACAGAGAACATCAGTATGGGTAAAGATTTTTTAAGAAGATGCACATAAAAATTCAGAGCACATTCTGGCATAACTGGTTATGCCTACGTTTTCAGTATAGCTAGAATTGGATTGGATTATTACATATATATCTAACTAGTTTCCTTGACTGGGCACACTTAAACTATACGTTATATGTTTGCAAATAATCACTACATTTACTTTAAACCAACTTTTTATAGAGAAAAGGACATGAATTTGGAATAACTGTCTTGAGAAACATGCCTGGAAAATATGTATTGCTGCAAGATTAGGTTCTATGAAATGAGGTAAGGTTATTCTTGTAAATAAACATATACATTAAGAAAAAAGGAAGGAAAGGAAGGAAGAGAGCTGCAGGTCAAGCATCGAATGATTAGATGTGAAAGGAGAAAAAGAAGATGTACCACATCTGTATTCTACATACAGAAGTTTGCTGAATTAACTTTGAATGTTATTCAATGTTGGTGATAGCATAGTATCCATACCTTGAGACAGCATCCTTGTTTAGGAGGAAGGACATATATGTTAACAGAGCTCTATCCTCCAATGAAAGCAATACAGAGACTACCAGAGGATCAGCAAGATTTTTTTTCACCTGAGGTAATACCATCAATTGAATTGGAAATAAGGAGAAACTTTCTGACAGTGAGAACAATCAACCAATGGAACAGTTTGCCCTTGGAAGTTGTGGCAGTGCCATCACTTGAGACCTTCAAGAAGAGATTGGACTGCCATTTGTCAGAAATGGTGCAGGGTCTCCCACTTGGGCAGGGGGTTGGACTAGATGACCTATAAGGTCCCTTCCAACTCTGATTATCTGTTATCTGTTATCTGAATTAGTTGTAGGGGTGGTGCTACAGAATTGAGATAAGTGGGCAGTGTCAATTTGCAATATTCTTTTGAAACAATAAAAAGTTTCAAATAGTTTACTTATTCATGAACAGTATGGTTGTTCATTAGGTTTTGTTCAATATATCCTGTTCCATAGAAAGAGTTTGATGTAGTCATTTGAACTACAGTGGTGGTCTATTACTGTTCCCATCTGATGGGATTATTGGGGAGAATTGCTGCTGTAACAATGGGCCATAGAAAACCAGCAAAAGATTACAAAGAAAGTAATAAAGCTTCCATATAACTTCAAAAATATTTATTACAAGACCAAAGGAAACTCATGATCTCTCCACATATAGATTAAATTCATTTTTTAAAAAAAGTATTGAGAAAATAAGCCTTCTGTTGGCTACTCATTAAACTGAATAAGCTGATTAAGGCTGTAAAAATGCATCTAGGGGAATCACTTTACATTTAATCAAATCTAAATCAGACACTGATGGCTTTAGAATATTATTATTTTCTTAATTCAGGACAAACAGACATAAAAACATTAGAGTTTCCTCAAAATAAGCATACACATTAAAACAAAATTCTTACAATTTATCTCTGTTGCCTTTTTTGTCATTTGCAATCTAATTTTTGCACAACAACTTTGTTTTCTTTTTTAAAAAAAGGTAATATTCTCCATTTATTTATTGATATATTTATGTTTATGCTATCCAGGTTATTCTTATTAAGCAGTTTAATACATATGTTTTCCTAAATTGTCAGGAATGGAATATGAACATCTGATAATCTGGAGAGGTGTAAAAACTAAGTGAATGCCTTATGTCACAAGCACTCCCTTCTCTCCTTTTCCACTTAGCAAACTATTATGTTTCATAGTTTTGACGTGTGGTATTTAATAGTACACCATTGTGGCCATGAGAATGTGGGAGCGGGGAACAGGAAGAGACAAAGAAATATAAATTAATAGTAGGTCATGGCAACTGGATCTCCCCTCCCCCCATTTTGTCACATCAGAACATACTTTACAAAATAAAATGCAAAGGAAAAGATTTATTAAATATATAAGCAGAAGTTATGACTTTTTAAATGGGAAAATTCAGGGTAGAATTTAGAAAATGGTTTTACTATAACTTGTTGAGATTGTTCATGGAGTTCAAATTGCTTCATTTTATTAATGTTGAGTTTCATCCAAAGTGTTACAGATAAAAAGAAAATATTCTGCTTAAGGACATGTCAGAATTGACATTTAGCACTTAACAATAGAAATACACATCAGCTGTACATTTTAATAATAAATATTTTTACAATTCATCAACTACATACAACACTAAAATGGCAGCACCATCTTTTATGTAGTATTGCTTACATGAGTAAATAATAATTTGGGTTTAGCTAGCCTAGGTGTTTCAAATTTTCAGCTTTCATCAACCAAATATAGAATGGGTAGAGTCAAGGGATTGGGGAATTTGGCTCCAAAATATCAGAGGCATAGATAGCTTACCAGTGCTAAACCTCAGAACAGATAACAAGCATGCAAAGTTCTTTAATGTTCAAATGTAAAAAAGCAACCCATGAAGGAATGCTCAAGAAGTTCATCGCAGACAAGTTATATACTGTACAAAGTTAAATAGGATTTTAGATGTTCCCGGAAGAGAATTAATAGTAGAATAAATGTATAGGAAGTTAATAATCACTAGCAATGCTTCTAGTTTTAAATGGTGGCATCATCAGAAAGGCATACATTCTATAGCCTCTTGCACCTATCCAATATGCAGGTGGCTCTCATTTAGTGACTCCCCTGTTCATAGTTAAAGTGGCGATGAAAAAGTAAATCTACAACCAATCCTTGCATTTATGACCTTCACAGGTCTGTAAAGCAAAGGAAAGCTGATGTAAGATTTAAAAAGTACAGTCACAATTTCACTTAGCAATCACTTTGCTTAATAACCAAGTTGTCAGTCAAAATTATAGCCATTAAATAAACACTACCCATATATTACTGGCCATATCCTCATTGCTGGGTTACCATAAACCTACAGAAGAAGCCGTAATTTCTGTTAGTATATTGGAATGGAATGGATTTTGTAAAGCTAAAGATTACATTATTCTTTTGTTTTGCATTGTATAATGCTTGTATGAATTACGATAAATGAGAAAACACAGCAGAAAGGAATGGCCTTGGGAAATAATTCTTCTAACAACAGTATTCAGGGATGAAAATAGCTTGCATATGTAACTTTCATGGACTTTGTTTTTAAACTGCCAATAATATTAATGTGTATCAGCTGGGTTGGATATGTCAAGTTTATTTCTCAGTTGATTTTTGTATAATTTTGTTTAATAGTTTTAGAATAACATTTACTTTGATGACTTACGATCTAAATAACAAATATGGATGCAATCAAAAAGAAACATCTCAGCATTCCTTCTCCTTCAAACTTACTCTTCATATTTTTCTTGCAGTTTATTTTAGTCAGCATCAGATTATCTTTTCTCACTGAGAACAATTTGGCATTGAAGGAGAACAGTATCACTTGTTCACCACATGAAAACTGGAAAAGTGGTGGGTTAAAATGATATTTCTGTCTTTTAAAGGAGAAGACTCAAAATAGCAGAAGAAAGGTATCTGTTGTAAGGCAGGGATTGAAACAAGTGAGAGAATGCACATATTTATACTATGTTGCTAACTATAGGAAAGAACATGTCTAATTTAGAGAAAAAATGTTTGCTTAATTAGCGGGTGTGCTGGAATAGTTGAACTTTGGCATATTTTCCTTTGCTTTTTGGAAATCTGTTTTGTGTGTTTAATAGTATACATGCATTGTCCATAAACAGAAATAGCTGAACCCACCTATATTCTGCTGCTTTAGCTGCTAATGATCAAGTCCGTGCACAATACTTATATCACATCCTGCCTGTCTCTAACTAATTTTATTTCATAAGACTTTAAACCAGTGGTTCCCAAAGTGGGCGGTACCGCCCCCTGGGGGGCAGTGGGATGCCTTAGGGGGGTGCTAAGAGGCAAGGGGGCTGGCAGGGGGGCGCTAAGAGACAAGGGGGGGCTGGAGGTGGGCCCCTCACAAGGCACAATTCAGGGGTGGGATT